CCCTGTCCTCTTGTTTGGAAATGGAAATATGATCACCCTATATTAAACAAACTGTCCACCCGGGCTTTTGCGCTGCACAGAGACGCTTCGCTGCCTATGACTTTGAACGTCAGTTGAGAGCAGTTGAAAGTCAGTCTCATGCAGACTGACCAATGAAGAGAGGGCCTCAAGTTAAGACCCTCTCCTCATTGGTCAGTCCACACGAGGTGGGTCAAAGGTTACCCTAAGCGGGTTACATGATGTCAGGCATTCAAGTATTGAGTATATTTACTGCATATTACAGTAAAATATTCTGTATGTGACCATATTATGGTGATCCTTGGGTCGTGATGATGGGGCCCTTGAATATTGTTGCCCAGGGCACAACAAAGTGTTAATCTGGCCCTGGTTCAGCCTAAAAATAATTTATAGATAACATTTCTTAAGACAGCCAGGACGGTCACCCCCACATCCACTTGTCCATAGTATCAATGATTATGGCCATCTTTGCCTCAATCTGACATAAACATATTATTCTGGGTTTCATCATGTGAGCATTCAGCTGTATCGTCATAAAGGATTAGAAATCTTTTCATGTTTGACTTGACAGTGTAGCACAGGCATTTGTTTACGACTAAACCAGTTAGCAGAGTGCCACTACTCTGCATATTCAATTCTTTCTGTCTGATTCAGTTTGGAATTTCCTTATCAGACGACATTTAGCAGCCAAATTAAATAGCTAATCGTAAGGGAATCCTTTTAGCCAATAAGAGGCGAGATAGGCGGGATCTTCCTCTAACATCTAGCATTTAGATAGTTCACGTTCCGGAATTCCCCTTGCAGTCCGGGGTTTTCCGACTCCGCTGACTGCTCATTATCACCATGACAACAAAAATGGTCACCGTCAAGCAAGGGTACAAGAGCGGAAATAGAAGCAACAAGTACTTTCAGAGTAAAAGCACCCATTAGAGATTGGGAAATAAATTAACTTCAGAGCACTCTATAAGGGCATGGTGAAATTGTCTGTCCAAAATATAAAAGAGTTTTTCCCTAAAGCGTTTAGCCTGTTGAAAAATGAAAACCAAGTACAGCCTTTAAGCTAGATAACTTTAACTTGCTGTTCTTTAGTAAGCTCATATTTATGATCCATTCAATAAAATAATACATGATAAGTTCTATAGGAGTATTCTGTTATTCTAGCTGGGAAAATATCGCGTTTTAGACTGGAATTAAAGTCACGAAATGTCAAATATTTCTATGAAATGAACATCAACAAATCATCTATGGAAACTTCTGGACAAATGCAGCACAAATAAAAACAAAACGCGACCGGTGTTGTGCCCAATAGGCATGCATGCAGCCTGCCTAGGTTTGCATGCCCCCTCCTTTCGTTCCAGCCGCGTATTGAGGAAGTAAACATTCAGGGTTTACTTTGAAATTCCCAGACCGGAAGTACTTGGTGTTTTTTTTCCCCACAGCAGAGTTGTATCCCGTTCGGGAGCTTTTCAGACGGAGGTAAAACTCACGCTTTTACTCTTTAATCTGCTCAAAAAGAGACACGAGCGATCCAGATGTCACCGTGACTGTGGAGCGATTTACCACGGAGCTAAACAACAAGAAGCTGCGTTAGTTATTAAACTTTAACCTTCGGATCCACGTTTAAAGTCGTTCAAACCAGAACGAGGAGCTGCTTCAGATGAAAGGTTCCGGGTAGGTTACTGGTGCTTAGTTCAAATCTGCATAATCAGATGTTTAACTTCAGAAGAGACGCGTCGTTAGCAGCTTCTCAAGTATCATGTTCCGGTAACGTGGAGGACCTGCAGGCTGAGTTCAGATCTTCACTCATCTGGGTCTGGATCTGGATCTGGATCTGGTTCTGAGTCAGTGTCTGGGTCTGTTCTGGATCAGTGTCTGGTTCTAGGTCTAGTTCTGAGTCTGTATCTGAGTTAGTGTCTGGTTCTGGGTCTGGTTCTGAGTCAGTGTCTGGGTCTGGTTCTGGGTCAGTGTCTGGTTCTAGGTCTAGTTCTGAGTCTGTTTCTGAGTCAGTATCTGGGTCTGGTTCTGAATCAGTGTCTGGGTCTGGTTCTGAGTCTGTTTCTGAGGCAGTGTCTGGTTCTGGTTCTGAATCAGTGTCTGGGTCTGGTTCTGGATCAGTGTCTGGTTCTGGGTCAGTGTCTGGTTCTAGGTCTAGTTCTGAGTCAGTATCTGGGTCTGGTTCTGGTTCTGAATCAGTATCTGGGTCTGGTTCTGAGTCTGTTTCTGAATCAGTGTCTGGTTCTGGTTCTGAGTCTGTTTCTGAGTCAGTGTCTGGTTCTGGGTCTGGTTCTGGTTCTGAATCAGTGTCTGGTTCTGGGTCTGGTTGAAAGGAAAGGGAGTTTTTGCAGTTCTGCTCCAGATCTGCACACCACCCTCACCAAACGTGATGTCGGTGTGCAGCAGAGTGACACAGCAGTCTGGTGAACTCACGCTTTCTTTTTCACACCAGGATCTGTAGCGGTTACTAATCCATGATCGAGCGTCTTCTGTTTGACGGTCTGAACACATTTAAAGGGACACGTTGGGGCTTGCTTTTAGCACCCTCTAGAGTCTGTTATTAACTTGCTGTTTATCCAGAACTGAAACTCTCCTTGCTGTGCGTTTGACTTTTTAACACCTTGACCTAACTGCTGAAACATCTCCTCAGCGTTCATTAGTTTCTACAGGAGTTCGTCACTAAATCAGAAAAATCTGATGTGTTCACCATCTAAACCAGGCGTGGGAAACCCTGGTCCTCGAGGGCCAGTATCCTGCATGTCTCTGCTCCAGCACACATGATTCAGTGGTTGCGTCACCTGTGCAGCAGCTCATCAGGCTCTGCAGAAGCCTGTTGATCACCTGCTGACTGAAATCAGGTGTGATGATGCAGGATTGAAGCTAAAATATGCTGGATACCGGACCAGGGTTCCCCACCCCTGACATGCTGGAAGCAGACTCCAGCGCTTACATGTCAACTAGCCAGTTTACTATCAACTTACAGAGTTCCTAGTAAATAAGACCCCCGAGAGGAGAAATCATGTGACCACAGGAAAAGGCTGTAGTGTGTAGGCGAACCCAAACGCAGATTCACATTCTGGGTGATTGTAGACAGATCAGCTACTCTCCAAGCTACGAACGGCTAGCTGACAGGACCGTGGCTAGGAGCGCCGGCCGGCACCGCTGCTCAGTGGCAGCTGGGGTCTCGATGGTGTGACCTCAGGTAGAGATGGGAAAGTGTGAATGACTGAGCGTTTGCCTGGTAAGAACAGGGTGACGGAACGGGAAGTGATCACTAACACCTGACAAACAGGGACATGCAGGGGGGTTGTGCCCTAAGTGCCCTTTTCCTGGTCTTCCGTCAGATTTTACCATCCAAAACTGTCATATTTGTATACGGGTCAGGCACTAGGATCATGCGGAGGCAGCCACCTCAAGCTGAAGCCTCTTTTCCTTTCGTCCTGCCCACAAGCTCACTGATGAATGTTTTGAAAATTCTTTCGGAAGTGGGAATTGAAGCTCCTTCTGACAGGAGACTTTGCCAGGCGTTCCCAGCAGACCCTCACAATACTTTTGGGCCTGCCAGGTCTGACCGGCATCCTCCCGACCATCTGAGCTACTCGCCACCAGGTAGTGGCCAGTTGACAGCTCTGCCCCTCTTTATACCCGAGTGTCCAAGACATGGGCCGCAGATCAGATTAAACAATGACAAAGTCAATCATCGAACTGCGGCCTAAGGTATCCTTGTGCCAAGAGCTCATACGGACATCTTTATACTTGAACATGGTGTTTAATATGGACAATCCATGACTAGCACAGAAGTCCAATAACAAAATGCAGCTTGAATTCAGATCAGGGGGACCGTTCCTCCCAACCACACCTCTCCGGGCCTCATTGTTGTTGCCCACGTGAGCTTTAAAGTTCTCCAGCAGAACGAGGAAGTCACTGGAAGGAGCTCTCTTCCGCACACCCTCCAAGGTCTTCAAAAAGGGTCTGTAGTCTGAACTGTAGTTTCGTGCATAAGCACAAACCACAGTCAGGTCCCGTTCCCCCAAATGTAGTTGGAGGGAGGCTACCTTCTTGTTCACCGGGGTAATTCCCAATGTACAGGTACCAAGATGGGGGGTAACTAGTATGCCCGCCCCTGCTCGGCGCTTCTCAGTGGGAGCAACTCCAGAGTGGTAGTATCCAAACCCTCTCCAGGAACCTGGTTCTGGAGGTGAGTCCGACTATATCTAGTTGGAACCTCTCAACCTCATACACCAACTCAGGCTCCTTCTCCACCAGAGAGGTGACATTCTACAAGCCAAAAGCCAGCTTCTATAGCCAAGAATCAGACCGCTGAGGTCCCAGCTCTTGGCTGCCATCCATCACACACTGCACCTGACCCCTTTGGCCCATCCCATGAGTGGAGAGACCATGGGAAGGAGGAACCACGTTTCCTCTTCGAGCTGTGCACAACCGAGCACCATGGGTGAAAGCCCAGCCACCAGGCGCTGGTCAATTTAAATGAAAATAAAAAAACATCAGGCCCCCTGACAGTCACAGGTCCTTATATTATATTAGTATCATATTAATTTTTCACCCCTTTATGGCGATAAATGATACTGTTGTCTAAGTCCAGCCGTAAGGGTTTGAATGACGGAGCCCGTAATACAGAGGGAGCCCGAAAAAAGATACAGTTTCTACCTACCTATATGTATATATGTATGTATGTATATATATATATATATATATATGTATATATAAATATACACACATACATATATATATATATATATATGTATACATATATAATGTATATGTATATACATTATATATATACATACATACATATACACATATATATATATGTATATGTATATATATATATGTATATATATATATATATATATATATATATATATATATATATATATATGTATATATGTGTGTATATGTATGTATATATATATGTATGTATGTATGTATGTATGTATATATGTATGTATGTATATGTATATATATATATAAGTGGCATAGACTTATTTTAAGACACTTGAAGCTCTCACGGGCCACATAAAATGATGCGGCGGGCCACATGTGGCCTGCGGGCCTTGTGTCTGACACGTGATCTAGATGATAACCAACTTTTAGAAGTTTTTCAATCAGGTTTTAGAGCAAAGCATAGCAATGAGACTGTGCTCAGTGATATTTATAATTATACTGATGCGGGTGACACAGTCTTTTTATTGTTCTTAGATCTGGCAGCCACTTTTGATACTCTTGATCATGTCATACTTCTCGATTGTCTGGAGAAGTTTGTCGATGTCTCTGGTTCAACCCTCTCATGGATGAGTTCCTACCTGTTTGACAGGCATGTGACTGTTAAGATTGGTCGCTTTTGCTCGAGTGATACTCCCCTGAAATATGGGGTCCCACAGGGCTCTGTAGTTGGTCCTTGCTTTTCAATTTATACTTGATCCCACTTGGGGCCATCTTTGGGAAATATGAGCTTGACTTTAATTTCTATGCTCTGTCAAGTCTATGCTCCTATAAAAGCTCAGGAATGAACTCTGAGTTGTCTTCATAAGGTTATGATTGGATGGGTTGTAATTTTCTCCAGATTAACGAGTCTAAGACTGAGTTGGTTATGTTTGCACTGAGTGGTGCTCCTGTAGTTACTCAGTCTTTGATGCGTGGCATTTCATTTGAGGCAAAAGATGTTGTTTCTAATTTGGGTGTTAAGATTGGTTCTCAGCTTAATTTTGATGTTCAAGTCAATAATTTGGTTCGGGTTTGTTTTTTTCACCTAAGGAAGCTTTATAAGTTTTATCCCTTTTCGACCAGGAATGACTTGTAGAAACTTATCCATGCATTTATAACATCTTGTTTAGACTACTGCAATAGTATTTTCTTGGGTATTAATCATGGATGTATTTATTTATTTATCTGAACATCTTGTGCCACATGTTCCAACTTGTGGATTGCGGTCAGCTGACCAGCATAGGCTGAGTGTACCTAGAGCAAGACTGCAGAAAAGAGGTTTTAGATATTTCTCTGTGGCTGCACCGACTCTGTGGAATATGTTGCCTATCTCCATTAGCCATGGTCATCTGTTACCATTTTTAGTCATTCACTGCCAGTCATTTCCTATCAGAAATATTTATATGGATTTGTATATATTTTATATGGACTCTCAGTGTAGCGGGGATTATTTTGAGTGGAGTGGACGCAGAGCGCTGATTGTTGATGCGCTCCAGGAAGCTGCACCCTGCGCACAGCAACAGTAAGTAAGTGTCACCACCAAAATAATATATTGTAGCGTCATGAAGGGCCTCTAATTTGTGACAAAGGTCACATTTTCCCAGCTGGGTCAAGCTGGGTCAGACTGTAACTTTTGGTTCCACAGATTAATCCAGGAGCCATGATGGCTGCTGAATATCATCTTTATCTGCTGCTGTTCCGTCCCAGAATGAAGGACACTTCAAGATCACAATAATAGTTTTAGTATGTTGTTTACGCGCTACAATATTTACCACACAATCTTTCATATCTGCTCTAATTCTGTGGTACTTCCTATCAGACAGGACAGGAAAATAGAACACGTTTTACCAGTCATTGAGCGAGAGCCGGGGGACACCCTGGACAGGTCTGTCCATCACACTAGCTCCAAACAACAGTGTCATTTAATTTCATTAATTTTATTTATGAATAAAGGATTTTTTTTATTTTAGCAATAATGATTATACATGTCTACATGTTTATATAGACAATATACACTATCATAAACATTTGGTCAAAGCTAACAATGAATGAGCTCAATATTAAACATCAGTTCATTGTTTCTTTTTTCTGTGTGTCAGGCTGGAAGTTCAGGATTGTCCCTAAATCCTACCTTCATCACATCCTTCCTCATCAAAAGTTTCTGCTGAGTCATGGCTGGAGCTCTGAGGTATGTGAGCAAGCTCAGTGCTGTTGGTTTTGCTGCAGCGCTAAAGGTTAGGTCAGAAAAATTAAAACCCAAGACAGGAAGTCACCTGGGCTTCCTGTAGGTATGTGGGGGAAGGGGGGGCATAATGCCTCAAGATGCTGACAACAGGAAAATTGTGTGAGGTAAAAAGGCCTATGGGTACATAATGAGGAGGACACCGTACTAGGGCTGGGCAATATATCAACATTTTTTAAAATATCAATATAACGTTCAACGCCAACGGAGTTCTGTTTATCCGTCCTGCGAGTGCGGAGCCAAAACCCTCCCTCCCCTGTGTAATGGGAAACATCTACGGATAGCTGGAGTGGTCAAATTACCTCAAACGTATTGTAAGGGTTTGAATAGTAAACTATAGGGTTAACGTTTTATTTTGAAGGAGAGGTCAACGTGTGAGAAATGTTGTTCCAGTTCCATTATTTTCCTCTCTGGTTTGCTATACTAGTAAATACTCCGTTACGAGCGATTCTGTTGAAAAAGTTAAGAGTTTGTAAGGCGTGGGTTACGGCGACAGTAGCCCGAAAATAATACTGCTAAAAGAGCAACCAGAGACTCTGAGTCATTACAGTATAATCGCTGATATGAGCCAACACTGCTAGACTCCAGCCATGTTTGCCCTGATAACTCCACGGTGCATGACCCATGTGATCTTCAGTAGATGCAATTACATCATCATACATTTAGCTTAACATGATAGATTTATTTTCTCTGGACAAGAAATATACGATAGGGCCCACCTCTAGATGAAATTTAAATGATTTTACCTTAATTATAAATATATAATTAAAAAGTGCCTGTGGGACATTTGATACACTTCTAGCTCTCAACTGTGTGTGTGTGTGTGTGTGTGTGTGTGTGTGTGTGTGTGTGTGTGTGTGTTAACAGACAGCTGTACCAGAGAATAGGCACTAAGGTTAAAGTTTGGCAAGAATTAATACATTTTTATGCATTTAATCTACTGATTTATGTTTATAATTTCTCAAGACAGCTTGAAGTGTAACTTGTAAATATTTTACATGGGGAAAAATATTGAGATATAAGTTTTGGTCCATGCCGCCCAGCCCTACACCGTATCTTGGAGTAAATGAGAAGAAAACAACATAAATGAGTAAATAATGAGTATTGATTATTCTAGGGTAAACATCATGGAGGAGGAGTAAAGGACATGAAGTGTGGACTAAATGAAACCAGACACGTAAACAGCATCAGGGAGTAAACACTAGAGCCGTGCAATGGGATTGGGATCCAGCAGGACCCAACACAAATCCTGGGAGAGCAGAGAAAACAGCTGGTCCTGAATTTGTTAGAAGATGGAGAAGGCGCCTGAGATAGGTAACAAAAGTAAAGACCAGGTTCGCTCGTCTTTTCAACACATCTGCAGTTGTCTCTGTGGCTAAAAACTCTAGCGCTCCTGTTGGAGGAAGTAGTAGTTAGCCAGAGCCGAGGGTAATAAAATACTTTTGGAGTCTTACTTCCTGATATATGGACATCTCTCCTCTGATTGGCTGACAACAACACGACTCTACCTCAGACTCTGTTTGTTCTACAATGTTCAGTTCGATTCAGTTCAAAGATACTTTATTAATCCCAGAGGGAGGATTATAACCTATAGAGCGTGTTGTTATTAATTATCTTCTGTTGAAAGATAACTTTGATGTACAGGAGCGACTGGTATTGGTTGATGTCACCTGTTGTGATCGGTTAAAGCAGCTCTCTGCTGTCTGAGGGTAGGCTCCGCCCACAACGCCGTGGCTCCCAGTGTTTACTGTGGGAAATGGGTAATAATGACTCTTTGGTGGGAAAAGGTTGCCGACCCCTGGTTTAGGGGAAGGGTCCAGAATGCTGTCCCAGAGATCTCAGCGGTCTGGTTCAACAGGTAGTTAAGGCTCCAAGTGGCAGACCAAGAAAGGCAGCAAACCTAGCTCAGACGCTCTTTAGCTGCTCTGGGGGGGGGGGGGGGAGGGGGTCTGTTTAGTCTCAGACCAGGAAGAATGAATAATTCCTCCAGAGAAGCCTGGGTCGACCCTAGGATCTCATTCTAGAGGCTTTCTGATCATGTTCTCCTGGGAGTAAAACAGAACCTCCATCAAGAGGCACCCTGATCAGAACCACTTCAGCTGACCCCTCTTGGTCAGGAGGGGCAACTCTACTCTGAACTCTTCACCTCAGCTGCTCTATGGAGGACGATCACTTCAGATGCTTGGATCCAGGATCTGCTTCCTCCAGTCCTGATCCAGACCTTTGCCTCTAGCACCTCATATGTCGATCCACTTCTTCTCCTGCACACGAGGCAGTGGCTGGTGGTGTGTAGCTTGTCATCAGTGGCAGGTGTGGGGGCGTCCTGGTGTCTGGTGAACAGAAACGAGGTAAAATCACCTCTGTGGATTCCTGCTGACTTTTCTCTTCTGCCGCTCACTACTTCTCTGTCTGTGATTGGTCCATTGTGTCAAAGGGGGCTGTTCCGTCGCCGTGGGGGAGCAGGGCTTCGGGTTGGGTCTGAGTCAGAAACTCAGGAAGTCAGAAACCACCAGAAAGACAGAAGACTGAGTGCAGAGGAAGTGAAGTTTTGAGCGCAGGATCGGGTCAGTCCAGGTCTGACGGCTGCAGGAGGTGAACTCACCCCAGTTCTACCGGGTCCATCTACACAATCAGAACCAGCACCGTCACAGGAAGTACACAGCATCGAGGAGAAAGAGCTTTGATTTTGAAGGTTTTTACTGAAATGTGTGTTGTTTGTTGTCTGCTGCACCTGCTTGATTTAAAGCATGGGGTCTGCAGGTGGTGGAGCCAGGCCACAGCAGGTTCTACAGCAGCTGTGGAGCTCTGGGGAAGGAGAACTCTGTTTTATGTGTGAGGTGGTGGAGCTGCTCCTTAGTAACGTTGTTGCTGAAGCCCGAAGATCATCTCAGCATCTTTGCTTATTGATGACTCGACAGGATTGGTGACGTCTCTGTTATGTTTAGGCCCGTTCTTTAGAGGCGGCCGTTTCTGAATTTCTATTTTCTCCTTTTTTATTGTCATTTTAAAATTTTGTTTATAATTTTTTTATTTTATTTCAGTCATGAGTTCAGGCCACCTTGTTGTCATCGCAGTAGTCAATGACATCATCAATAGCTCCGCCTCTCTCAGCAAAGCTCTGGGATTCTGGGGGATTTCCTCGGCTCAGCTGCTTCCAGGAAGTGACTGAGAACAGGCCTGGGGGGGGGGGGCAGCTCAGAGAGGGAGAGAGTGGTGTCTCTCGCCCGCTCAGAGAAAGTGAAACTAATGCAGATTTCTTTTTTTTTTGTTGGAGTTTTAGGAGCTTTAAAGAGACTTGTGTTGGAAAGTGTGTGTGTGTGTGTGTGTGCGTGTGTGTGTGTGTTTGTGTGTGTGTGTGTGTGCATGCGTGTGTGTGTGTGTGTGTTCCTGATGGAATCATCTGACACCTGGTGTTTTTGGTTTGTGCTGCAGGATGACTGAAGCTACGTTCAACTACGAGAATGATGTGAGTTCTTCTCATTTTCACACATTGACAGTCTAATTCTGCAGGATGTAATCAGTTGTTCTGCAGAAACATTTTAATGTTGGAGGACTCTGATCTCCAAGTTTTTCCTTCATCATTCAGGTTTAATGGGATAAACTGTGTGTGCGGTACCAGGCTGTTCTGATCCAGTTAAAGATGGAGGAAGATAATTACTGATCTTGCTTCTTTTCCTCTTCAACTACAGCTGAACTTCATGGTGTATGACTGCATTCCTCCTGTGGACATAAAGACAGAGCCCTACATACCTGAGACAGGTGAGCACTCTGATAGCGATGTCACAGGGATATCATCACACGCAGTCACATGGAGTTGTTCCAGATGAAATAAGGGCATTTGTCTGGAGTTGTACTGTTGAGTTTTCTAAAGCCAGCAGAGTTAGGAGAAGGTTTTAAACAAAAACGTCTGCATCCTCATAGATTCACGTTTGGTTTGATTTCTGTCTTTGAATAGATTCTGCTCAGCTGATCTGAGGCGTACCTCAGGGATCTGTGTTAGGCCCATTTGTTCGCAAAACGCCAGAGCCCTAAAAACATAAAAAGAGCGGAGGATATGTAGGGGAGACACGGAGCAGCTTGAGGAACGCCTCGTGGAAAAACTCAAAAAATATGTACGTTTTATTCATCCGTGACTGGAGGAGTGAAAAGATGAGCAGAAAGCGTTTTATTCATGGACAGAAATGACGGGAAACGTGGCAAGCACATGAAGAGGTGTAGGAGGAAAGTCTCTGAAATACAGAAAAACACAATATAAACACACTAGCCTGGACTGTATACATGACAGGATACCACAGAACAGCGCCACGCCCTCTGGTGTCCTGGAGGGGAACTGCTTTGCAACACTCTCCAGGAGACGGAGAAGTCTGAGGATAAAACGTCTCCGTCCGTGCGTCTCTCCCTCCTGGAGCTGACGGAGAAGTAGAAATGAAGCTTAACACTTTCTTAATTAATTTTTTAGTTTGTTTATGGTTCTATCAGTTGGTGTTAGGGTTAGGGTTACTTTGATGCCATACAACAGTTTGTATTTTAACATTGTGGTGTTTCACAAACTAAACCAGCTTCTTGTACTCCTTTTTCTCTCCATTCCCCTCTGGACAAACTGTGTGATGATGGGTCCTTGTAGTTTTATAAACTGTGTGATGGTGGGTTCTTGTAGTATTATAAACTGCTAATTACACTGAACCAAACATCTCTGCTGTGGACTACATTTACTGTGTATCTTCATTCCTTTAGCCATTCTTTTTCAAACTGTTTATTTTTCCTACTCGAACGTTGGATTTCACGAGGAGAAAGCGAACACACCATTAGCTGAACAGAAGCTAACATATCAAGCTAACTTTATCTTAAACATTTTATTTACACACCGGAGCAGATTAAGATGATGATGCCTCACTTAGATCGTTGTTGCTGTCACGAGCGCGGGTGAGTTGACTGGAGTTGAGGATCCAGGTGCAGGGGAAAAACAAGGCAGGCAGCCAAGAATGATCTCTAAAAAGGAGTTTTAATGACGAGCACACGAGACAATGAAACAATGATCCGACAAGACAAAAAGGACTGACAGGGTTTAAATACAGGAGGAGCTGGGACCTTGGGTGATTGGGTGACGAGAGGCAGGTGGGAGCAATTGACATGGACACAGGACTGAACAGAATGGGTAGACAGGACAGAGTGTGACAGTACCCCCCCCAAAGGGTGGCACCGGACGCCAACACAGGCCAAGACGGAGTTTAGGGGGGCGGTGTCTGGGGCACAGGAGAGGACCCCAGAGTCTAGGAGCCGGTGTCTGAGGCAAAGTAGACAACGCCAGAGTCTGGGGGGGTGGTGTCTGGGGCACAGGACACGAGGTGCATGTCGCTGACATGGCGGGAGGCGCTGACTTGGCGGGAGGCACTGAAGGCGGAGGCGCTGACTTGGCGGGAGGCGCTGCAGGTGGAGGCGCTGTCTTGGGGGGGAGTGCTGACTTGGCGGGAGGCGCTGCAGTTGGAGGCGCTCACTTGGTGGGAAGCGCTGCAGGTGGAGGCGCTGACTTGACTGGGGGGCACTGGACCTAGCGCAGACTTGACTAGGGGCGGCGGACCTGGCGCTGACTTGACTGGGAGTGCCGGAGCTGGCGCTGACTTGACTGGAGGTGCCAGACCGGGCACTGACTTGACTGGGGGCACCGGACCGGGCGCTGACTTGACTAGGGGCGGCGGACCTGGCGCTGACTTGACTGGGAGCGCCGGAGCTGGCGCTGACTTGACTGGAGGCGCCAGAGCGGGTGCTGACTTGACTGGGGGCGCCGGAGCTGGCGCTGACTTGACTGGAGGCGCCAGAGCGGGCGCTGACTTGACTGGAGTCGCCGGAGCGGCCGCTGGCTTGACTGGAGGCTGGGCCGGGGCGGAGCCTCTTGGACAGGCTGGGTTGGGGGTGGATCCTCTTGGAAAGACTTGGCTGGGGGTGGAGCCTCTTGGACAGGCTGGGCCGGGGGCGGTGCCGCTGACTGGACTGGTGGCGGTGCCTTTGACTGGACTGGTGGTGGTGCCTCTGACTGGACTAGTGACGCCTCCTGGAAAACCAGGGAGGATAGAGTGTCCAGCTGGAACTGGAGGCTGAGGATCTGATGGAGCCGGACCAGCTCAGCTCGGAGACCGGCGAGCTCTGTTTGATGGACTTCCGGCTCGGCCCCTTGGCCTGGAGATGAGAGAGCTGCTGGCTGGACCAGAGGCAGGGCAGCTGGCGTGACTGGAGGTGGGTCCGCTGCAGGCGGTGACGTTGTCTGGACTGGAACCACCTCCTGAAGAACCAGGGTGGAGAGTGTCCAGCTGGAACTCCTGGAGGCTGATGAGTTGACAGAGCCGGCCCAGCTCCGCTTGGAGGCCGGTGAGCTCCGTCCAATGGGTTGCTGGCTCAGTCCCTCTACTTGCAGATGAAGGAGGTGCTGACTGGACCGGAGACAGAGGCTGGAGGTCCAAACTGGTGCGCCAAGCCGGGATGGCGGTGAGCCCGCGGTGCCGCTCCGTTGCTGGAGGTGTCAGTGGAGCTTGGGTTCCTTCCCAGTGCCGTGGGCCAACTCCGGGGGAGCACACAGCCAGTCTGGTGCCCACGTAGTAGGAGCAGTCCAGCTGCGTCGCCCAGTCCAACCTCCCATCTGGCTCCGGGAGGGTGGAGGGGATCGCCGAGGTTCGTCGTCAGCGTCTGCAACAAGGCGGCGGAGGAGGGGAGGCCTCCAATGCCTCGCAGGGATCAGGTGGCTCAGGGTGAGTCACCGGAGCAGGTTCTCCCAGGGGAGAGTTTCCCCGCTGGATCCTTCGTGAGGTTGGATCATTCTGTCACGAGCGCGGGTGAGTTGACTGGAGTTGAGGATCCAGGTGCAGGGGAAAAACAAGGCGGGCAGGCAAGAATGGTCTCTAAAAAGGGGTTTTAATGACGAGCACACGAGACAATGAAACAATGATCCGACAAGACAAAAAGGACTGACAGGGTTTAAATACAGGAGGAGCTGGGACCTTGGGTGATTGGGTGACGAGAGGCAGGTGGGAGCAATTGACGTGGACACAGGACTGAACAGAATGTGGAGACAGGACAGAGTGTGACAGCTGCTGGTTTCATTATCGCCCAGTTACCCATCCCAGTTAGTGAAGTGGACCCAAACTTCAGAACACTTCCTCTCTGCCATGCTGCTTTGTTTACAGCTCGCCCACAGTGACTGACGACATCATGCTCTTGCGCCAGCGCGAGGCATGGGTACCGAAACAAGGCTCAGTTTCATATAACGTGAATCGGTACTCAGTTGGTACTATGGAATTCGATCGGTGCCTTAAAAAGGACCGATGTCCTGATGTTGATGATGTTCTGATGTTGCTGACTCTACCTGTGTTTTGTGTTTCAGCTCATGGCCCCTACGTTCAGATCATCGAAGAGCCTAAACAGGTGAGAACAACCCTTTACTTACTCTGAAAGCTGGTCATTAGTACTGATTATTATAACAAGCAGGCTCCGTGCTGGTTTGAGGAAATAGATATTTTCCGACCACTAGTGGGATAGGTGTTTTAGGATTGTTGTAAGTAAATGATCGGTAAATGTTTTTTTTAGGATGTTTGAACCTGGGATGTCCAATATTGTTAGTCTAACCCTGCGCCGCTAAAGATAGGGTCGGGTTCTATTTGTGTTGTGAGCCGCTTAAGGGACAATTAATGTAGGGATAGACAGGAAATCACACACGGTTGCATCGAAAATTCCCTGGTAATTTTTAAAATAAAAGTACTGCAGCGATGCAATTTCATATTTGTGTGTGTGTGTGTGTGTGTGTGTCCATTTTCAACCGCTTATCCAGAGTCGGGTCATGGGGCAGCAGTCTAGTCCCTTAAGCTTGTCCTGGGTCTTCCCTTGGGTCTCCTCCCAGTTGGACGTGCCCAGAAAACCTCACCAGGGAGGCGTCCAGTAGCCATCCTAATCAGATGCCTAAGCCACCTCAACTGGCTCCTCTCGATGTGGAGGAGCAGCGGGTCTACGCTGAGCCCCTCCCAAATGACCGAGGTTCTCACTCTATCTCTAAGGGAGAGCCCAGTTACCCTGCAGGGGAAACTCATTTCTGCCACTTGTATCTGAGATTCCGTTCTTTCGGTCACTACCCAAAGCTCGTGACCATAGGTGAGGGTAGGAACGTAGATCGCGAGCTTTGCCTTCCAGCTCAGCTCTCTCTTCACCACGACAGATCGGTACAGCGCCCACATCACTGCAGGCGCAGCACCAATCCGCCTAGCAATCTCATGCTCCAATTTTCCCCCTCTCTTGAACAAGTCCCCGAGATACTTAAACTCCTCCACTTGGAGCAGGACCTCATCCTTGACCCGTCAACCAACACAGCCCAACAACATCCAGAGCCTTAAGGAACTCCAGATGGATCTCATCCACTCCGGAGCCTTGCCACTGAGGAGTTTTTGACCACCTCAGTGACCTCAGCACCAGAAATTGGAAACTCTAACTCAAATCCCCCAGACTCTGCTTCCTCACTGAAAGACATGCCAGTGGGATTGAGGAGGTCTTCGAAGTATTCCATCCACCGATCCACAACGTCCCAAGTAGAGGTCAGCAGCACACCATCACCACTGTAAATAGTGTTGGTAGCGCACTGCTTTCCCCTCCTGAGGCGCCGGATGGTGGACCAGAATCTCCTCAAATCCGTACGGAAGTCTTGCTCCATGGTATCACCAAACTCCTCCCATGCCCAGGTTTTTGCCTCCGTGACCACCCGAGCTGCATTCAGCATGGACTGCTGTATACATCAGCTGCCTCTGGAGTCCCACGGGCCAAAAAGACCTGATAGAACTCTTTCTTCAGCTTGACAGCATTTCTAACCGCCGGTGTCCACCAGCAGGTTCGGGGTTGCCACCACGACAGGCACCGACGACCCTGGGGCTGCAGCTCCAGTCGGCCGCCTCAACAATGGAAGCACAGTACATGAACAGAACAGGGTGCACAGAAGTCCAGTAACAAACACTGCTCCGATTCAGATCAGGGGGGTCATTCCTCACACCTTTGGAGACGGCTTATGGTAGAGAAATTAACACTCATTTAACGGGCAACAACTCTGGTAGACATTCCTGCAGTCAGGATGCCAATCGCACTTTCCCTCAAAGGCTGCAACATCTGTAGCATTGTGCTGTTTGATGAAACTGCTCATTTCAGGGTGTCCTTTTATTGTGGGCAGTGTAAGGCACACCTGTACGTTATTCATGCTGTTTAATCAGCCCCTTGATATGCCACACCTGTGAGGTGGGATGGATTATCTTGGTAAAGGAAAAGTGTTCACTAACTCATGCAGACAAATTTCAGAACAATAATTAAGAGTCATGGGTCTTTTATGCATGTAGAAAAAGTTTCAGATGTTTGAGTTCAGCTCATGAAAAATGGGAGCAAAAACAAGTGTTGAGTTTATATTTTTGTTCAATGTAATAAAAATATACTTGTATGTACATATAAATATAAAAAGTGGAATAGTATGTGTAGTATTTCAGTGTCTTTCATAAATCATAACTTTACATAAAACACTGATGTGTAAAAACCCCAAACCTGTTTCGCAGAGTAAAAGTAAAGTGGAGATCCGTGATCACAGTGATGGTTCCCCTCAGCAGGTTCCTCAACATGTTTCTGCAGCAGTCACTTCCTGTTACCCTGGGTTTTCCCAACAGTCATTTACTAGCATCCAGTTTTAACAGAAATTTCCTGCTGCTGAGAGTCAAATGACACCAAAGTCTGTAAATTGGGTCAGGCAGCACCGGAACACCTGGTGCACTGGTGAACCAAAAGCAAACCTAAAGACAGAAATAACTGCTTGTCCAGAACTACCTTCAAAGGATTACAGGCTGCTGGGAAGAACCAGAGACATAGGGACTGGATAAAGGGTTTTAATCTTGATCAGGGGTGTTGTAGACTGAATCAGGGGCATTTTAGATTGGATGAGGGGTGGTTTAGGGTCATTTCTCAATATCCAATAATTATACCATATCTTTCCATACCATATTTTTTTGTAGAGCACATTTAAAAACTGCATGTCAGCTGACTAAAGTGCTTAACACAAGAGACGGTGATGTAAAATCTGACACAAAACAATAAATCTAATGCTAAAAAGAGTTTTTGCTATTAAATAATATTAAACAGACTGTTTAAAATGAAATAAAAATAAAATATAAAATCAACAATGCAGCAGAATTTAAAACAGACCATAAAAAAAGAAAATGACTGAAAAAGAGCAAAAAGTCAATAAAACCGTAAAATAAAAAATGGAAACTGAGACAATGTCCACTGCGGAAAAATGACTGACCAAAAGCCTTTCTGAAGAAGTGTGACCTAAGGCTAGATTTAAAGTGTGTAGGTGAAGGAGCCAGAAGCACTAAGAAAGGGAGTGCATTCCAGAGCTTAGTAGCAATGAAAGCAAAGGCCAGGGGCCTCATTTATAAAGCTTGCTTATGCACAAAACAGGGTCAGAAAATTGCATAAGCAACTTTACACGCAAACTTTGGGATTTAGGAAAGAAAATGTAGTGGGAAAAAATGTGGAAAAAAATGTGCGCAACGTTAATGGTGGAATGCTGCAACGAGCCGGCTTATGTATATGCATGAGATCCACAAGGCACTTTGCATTGACCATTTATGGCAGAAAGTGGGCGTGTTGAGGGTGGGATGTGATTCAGAAACAGCTGAGAACCTTTCTAGTTAGAGTGTGATTTATAAAGCGGAGATTGCGTGAAGCTGTGCGTACTCCATGTTTTATAGGTCACAGACCTACTTGGCGTAAGTAAATTTTTTTGCCGAGGTTAAGTATGGTTTTAGTAAGGATTCTACGCAATGTTTTATAAATGAGACCCCTGAACTGTATTGGAATGTTTTCAATGTGAAGTCTCTTGAGACGACTCTGGTCGTGATTTGGCGCCATGTAAATAAACTTGAATTTAATTGAATTGAATCAAGAGCTCTAGACTGGATCAAATGTGTTCTAGACTCAATCAGGAGTTTGAGACTGGATCTCGGTGTATTCTTGGCTAGATCAGGGGTGCTCTAGGCTGGATCAGTGGTGTTTTAGACTGGATCAAGGGTCCTAGGCTGTATCAAGGGCTCTTGATTGGATCTTGGGTTTTTTAGACTGGATCACTGGATGTGGGTGGTCTAGGCTAGATCAGGGTTTCTAGGTTGAATCAAGGGCTCTAGACTGGGTCATGGGTGCTGGACTGGATCAGCAGTGTAGATCCATCATCAGCCTCAGTAAGCTCTAGACATGTACAGATGTTTCTCAGTGGCTGTGTTCTCCTACAGAGGGGATTTCGTTTCCGGTATGAGTGTGAAGGTCCATCACACGGTGGGCTTCCTGGGGCCTCCAGTGAGAAGAACCGGAGAACCTACCCAACTGTGAAGGTGGGTCCCTACCCAACATGGACACCATAGACAAGCTTCATATCAGAACCAACTTCCTGTTAATGTGAAACTGTTTGTGTTTCAGATAAATAACTATGTGGGTCACGCTCGGGTGGAGGTGCAGCTGGTGACCCACATTGACCCACCTCGGGTCCATGCACACAGCTTGGTAGGACGCCACTGCAACGAAAATGGGATGTGCACGCTGGACATCGGCCCCAATGACCTCACAGCCTCGTCAGTATCCAATCACATCTGATCCAGTTGATCTTGTGTTCTAGAAAGTCTCAAAAGGTCCAAAGAGTAAAGCAGAATGTTCTGATTTTGCTAAATGTTCAGCAGGATGAGAGCTCTGCTGGCATTTAATAACATAAAACAAGTTTAAAACAAAAGGAAAGGCTGATAACAGGTTACCAGAACCAACAATACACCAGCGAACAGCAACAAAATGTATTTCTGATGATCATCGATGAACTTCTGATCTAAAGAATTCTTTAGTTTAATGAAACAGAGCAGTTAGGACTAGTTATCCAGGTAATTACAGACTTTCCCTCAGAAAACTAGCTAAGCCCAGTGTTAGAGAAGCCCACGGGCAGCCCAACGTTTGATTGTGTTTTGCTGTGTTTTCGTTAGAATTAAAGCTCCAGTGTGTGATATTTTCACTTGTTAACTGTCAAATCCTGTTACCAGTTCACAAACTTGTCCTTTTTCACTAATATTTCTCACCAACATAAATTCTAAATATTCCTCTCAACTTGAAATTATGCATTTTATATACGTAAACTGGTCAAGGCTCCATGGTCATCCACCATCTTAAAATACAGTAGCTGTTTAGGGACATACGAGCTCCACGTTACCCGTTTAGACTATGACTGTAACCTGAAAGAACCAGCAGAGGGCAGCAGTGCGCCCTGGAAGCATGGAGTCTGCTAATTCAACTAAGAAATAGAAAAGAATAGCTACATCATTGCTGTACTAGTTAGTTTGAATAATAAACAATTAAATCAAAGGACACATACAATTTGTCAGTTCGTCATCATGTCCAACACAAGGAAGCTGCATATGTTCAGACCCCGCCCGCTACTATCTGGACGCCAGCCTCCGATTAGTGTCCCTGACTCCCAAACTCACCTCAATCTGTTCACTCATCTTTTCCTCATACCAGAACTCCCAACCCGGTCCCAACGTGTCAGTACCAGAACTCCCGATCCGGTCCCAACGTGTCAGTACCAGAACTCCCGATCCGGTCCCAACGTGTCCGTTCCAAAGTACTTTTACTCAAGTCTCCTCTCTTCCCGCAGCCTGCCGTCTCTCCCAACACGCTCCAGCGCTCGTCCGCTAGCCAGTGGCTAAATCAGCATAGTTTAACTCCACAACACTACTAACAGCGATGTAGTTCTCCACGCATTACTGAGACGCTCCAACACAGAGGGCTTCTTCTCAAACATTACCTTTAGTCTTGGGTCTCCTTTTGCTGGTAATCCGTGGGAGTTTACGTGCAGCATACACAGCGTCTCCCCAGCTCTAGCCATGGCTAACTAGCAGCTCGTGACGTCCATCTCCACCACGCCAGCCATGAGCCACGATTAGCTGGTGGAAAAGTCAGCATTGTTTCCTTGATATCCAGCGTGTCCCCGGTTCACCAACCATGGCTAACAATCAGCCAGTGATCGCTCCATATCCATATAAGCTGTTAGCAACAGCCAGTTTGTTTACATCGAGCGCACCATGAGATGCGTGAAACGTCAGATATCAGGAAGGCACCAAGGTCCAGCAGGCAGAAAGGAGTCAGAGAGCAGGTTGGGGTTCATAGCCAGGAGGTCCAGGTCTGTGAGGATTAGCAAGCAAGGGCAGGAGTCCTGGGAGCAGAAACAGGGTCAAAAACATAGAAGGGCTGGGCTGGGCTTGGCTTGGCCAAGGCTGGATTTGGTCTGCAAGAGCTTCAGATAATCTGGCACAGAGCAGTGGCTGGAGCAAGCTTATATCCTGGAGAGCACAGGTGGAGATGATTAGACAGACAATCTTGAATAGACAAGTAACAGGTGAGCATAGTTACATGTAGGTGGGGCACAGCAATGCAGAGAGGCAGGATCACTCAGGATCATAACATGCACAGAGATTTCTTTTCCCCAAAAAAAAATCGTAAACAAACGTCATGACAGCAGGGATGGTTGCTACACAGGCTTCCTGACGGCTTGTCAGCTCAGTTTAGGCTCGGGGGAAGTTTGGGTCATCGGCCGATGGTCTGTACGGGCCCGGTAAGATGGCGGTCCGGCTTCGCTTCGGCCTCAGTTGTGGTGGAGGATGGGGCGGAGGGGAGCAAGTAAGGCTGTTCAGTCGGTTGTGACGGGGGTGGCAAAGCGGGACCGTGGGTGCAGTGATGGCGCTTCGGATAGTGATGTGGATCCGCAGCTGAGGACTGCACAGGAGGGCTTTGTGGTCTGTATAAGTGCGACGGGTGGATGCACGTTTTCCTACCAATAACCCGTTGGCGGTGTCCAGGGAGCTGAGAGGGATGATTGGTGATGTGACAGACGCAATGGTTGTTTTGGTGGGTTGCTGGAGGTGGTCTGTAGGACGAAGACCCAGGTCCACCGGGCCCTGGAGCTTGAGAAGTTCCTGGGGGTGAGTGTCGAAGTCTCGAAATCGCGGTCTAGGAGGACTGGTTAAGGGGGTGGTTTATGGTGTCTCTAATGACGTTACTGAGGTGTAGGTGGTGGACGCCCTGAGTGGTGAGGCGGTAGTGGCGGTGCGGCGTTTGGGTTTTGATAGGCATGGGTCCACTCTGTTGTTAATTAGTTTTGATGCGGTGGAGCTCCTGGCTGGTGTCAAGTTGGGCTATCTTAGTTTCCCAGTTAGGGCCTATGAGGCGCCTCCCTTGATGTGCTTTAAATGTCAGGGCTTTGGTCATGTGGCCGGAGTCTGTGTGGAAGGGTTGAGGTATTGGAGGTGTGGGGGCGACCATGAGGGCAAGCTTTGTGATCTTCCGCTCCACTGTTGTAATTGTGGCGGGGCTCATCAGGCGACTTATAGAGGTTGTGTGTCATATAGGACAGCAGTGGAGGTGGAGAAGTTTCAGGCAGAGCGTAAGGTTTCTTACGCTGAGGCGGGGTGGAGGAGCGTTGGGGCCTTGTGCTGGGTCTCAGGTGACTGGTGGTGGGGATGAGGGGGTGGTGGTAGTGAGAGATAAGAGACAGCTTCTGGCGTTTC